TAATCAAGTTACTTGGGGTTTTTGTTTGTTTTTGTTTTTGCTGAATTTTTGTTGTATGGGTTTCATACATATTTTGGATATCAACGTCTTATCAGATATATGAGTTGTAAATATTTTCTCCCATTTGTTAGTTTGCCTTTTCATTTTATTGATGGTTTTCTTTGCTATAAAGAATGTTTTCAGTTTGATATAGTCCTATTTGTTTAGTTTTTCTTTTGTTGCCTTTGCCTTTGATGTCAAATCCAAAAAATCATTGCCAAGACCAATGTTAAGGATTTGCCCACTATGTTTTCTTCTAGGAATTTCACAGTTTTAGCTTTTGTACCCAAGTCTTTAATCAATTTTGAGGTGACTTTTGTGTTTGCATGTGGATATCCAGTTTTCCTAACACCATTTATTGAAGAGATTGTCCTTTCTCTACTATATATTCTTGGCTTCTTTGTAATAAATTATTCGCCATATATGTGCGAATTTATGTCTGGGCTCTTTATACTGTTCCACTGATCTATGTGTCTGTTTTTTACCAAGACCATACTGTTTTGATTACTGTAGCTTTGTAGTATAGTTTGAAATCAGGAACTGTGATGACCCCAGCTTTTCTCTTTCTCAGGATAGCTTTGTCTGTTTGGGCTTTTGTGATTCAATACCGCTTCTAGGATTGCTTTTGTTTGTTTGTTTGTTTCTGTGAAATCTTGATAATAATTGCATTGAATCTGCAGATTATCTTGGGTAGTATTGGTATTTTAACAATATTAATTCTTTCAATTTTAATGGGATATCTTTTTCCATACCTTTGCTTTCAGACTGTGTGTCTCCCTAATAATCTGAAGTGAATCTCATATAAGCAGCATATAGTTGGGTCTTGTTTTTTATCCATTCAGCTACACTGTATCTTCTGATTGGAGAACTTATTCCATTTACATTTAAAGCAAATATTGATAGATATGGACTTACTTTTGACATTTTGTTAATTGAATTCTGGTTGTTTTATAACTCCTTCATTTTCTTTCTTCCTCTCTTGTTCTTTTCTTTGTGATTTGATGATTTTCTCTAATAGTAGGATTTATGTCCTTTCTCTTTTGTGTATATACTATGGGTTTTTGCTTTATACAAAGCATTTTATATTTATAACAGTCTATTTTAAGCTGATAACAGTTTAACTTTGATTGCATGCAAAAGCTCTACATTCTTATACTGCTCCCAACCATTTTATGTTGCTGTTGGGGGTGTTTTGTTCTGTTTTAAATGTTAATTTATTTTGGGAGAGAGACAGAATGTGAGCAGGGGAGGGGCAGAGAGAGAGGGAGACACAGAAACTAAAGTAGGTTCTAGGCTCTGAGCTGTCAGCACAGAGCCTGACATGGAGCTCAGACTACAAACTGTGAGATCATGACCTGAGTCAAAGTTGGATGCTTAGCCAACAGAGCCACCCAGGCATTCCCCGCCCCCCACTTTTTTTGAGAGAGAGAGAGAGAAGCAAATGATCAAGAAGCAGAGAGAGAGGGAGAGAGAGAATCCCATGAGAGGCAGAGAGGGAGAGAAAGAAAGGTGTGGGGGGGGAGAGAGAGAGAAGTGGGGTTCACCTGAAGCAGAGATCAAGTTCACTCAATGTGGGGCTCCAACTCACAAACCATGAGCCAAAGTCTTATGCTTAACTGACTGAACCACCCAGGCACACCCAGTTTACGTTCTTGATGTCACAATTCTCTTTTACATTGTGTATCCATTAACAAATTACTGTGGTTCTAAGTAATTTTAATGTTTGTCTTTAACCTTTGTACTAGAGTTCTAAGTCATTTCCCTATTACAACATTAGAATATTCTAAATATATGAGTTTTATACTTTTATATTATCAGAATCTTTTGTTTCATCTGGAAGAGCTCCTTTTAACATTTCTTGTAAGGCCAGTTTAGTGGAGATGAACTCCATCAGCTTTTGCTTGTCTGGAAAACTTGTCTCTCCTTCAATTCTGAAAGACAACTTTGCTGGGTAGAATATTCCTGGTTGGCAGGGTTTTTTTTTTTTTTTCTTTCAGTATCTTGAATGTATTATCCCACATCTTTTTAAAAAGATTTTTATTTTTAGGTAATCTTTACACCTAGTGTGAGGCTCAAACTCAAAACCCTGAGATCAAGAGTCACACACTCCACCAACTGAACCAGCCTGGTATCTCTCATCCCACCCACTTCTGGCCTGCAAAGTTTTTGCTGAAAAACATACTGACAGCCTTATGGAAATTCCCTTGTACATAGCAAGTTATTTGTCTCTTGCTACTTTCAAAATTCTGTCATCTTTGACTGCTGACAATTTAATTATAATGTGTCTCAATGTGGGTCTCTTTGGATTTATCTTTCTTGGAACTCTCTACAGTTCCTGGATCTGGAGATCTGTTTCTTTCCCCACATTAGGGAAGTTTGTGGCCACTGTTCATTTGAATAAGCTCTGACCCTTTAATCTCTCTTTATTCTGGGACTCCTATTTTTCACTTTATGGAGTCTGATAAGTCTCCAAGCTATTTTCACTCTTTTCCATTCTTTTTGCTTTTTGCTCTTCTAATTGGATGAATTCTAATGTCTTGTCTTCTAGTCTGCTGAACTTTTCTTCCAATTGATCTAGACTGATGCTGAAACTTTCTATTTAATTTTTTAGTTCAATTAGTATATTCCTTAGCTTTATGATTTGTTTGGTACTTTTTTATATATTCTTTTTGTTGAAATTCTCACTTTGCTCCTGCATTGTTTTGACCTTAGTGAATATCCTTAGGACTATTATTTCGAACTCTCTATTAGGTAAATTGTTTATCTGTTTCATTCAGATCTGTTTCTAGAGTTTTGTCTTGTTCTTTTCTTTGGCACATATTCCTCTGTTTCTTAATTTTCTTTGACTCTCTGTGCTGGTTTCTGTGTATTAAATAAAATAGTGACTTCTCAGTTATGAAAGAGTAGTCTTATGTGGGAAATGAACCTCACCAATTAGCCTGGCCAGTGCTCTTGGTTGTCTCTCAAATCTTTGTGATTGTCCAAGCCACCTTCTTTGTACTTAGTGGCTCACAATAGTTTAGGGTGTGCCAAGACCTATCAATGTCCAAAGGGGATGATCACAGTCAGTGCCTAGATACAGGCTATTTGGAAACCAGTCAGGTAGGAGCTGGGAAAATGTATAGTCAGACTCCTTCCAGGGAGAAACTGGAAAGTGAAGGTTTTTGTCTCTTCCTTTTCTACTGGGCCTTGACATGTAACCATGGGTGAGACTTTGGTCCTGGGCCTATTAAGAACGTCTCTGTTTTTGTTATTGTTGTTGTTGGTGGTGGTTTTTCAGCAGGGGCAGAGGGGTTGTGGAGGGCGGAAGGAGAAAGAGAGAATCCCAAGCAGGGTCCATGCTCAGTGTAGAGCCTGACTGAAGCTTGATCCCATGACCCTGGGAGCATGACCTGAGCAGAAACCAAGAAGCAGACACTCAACCAACTGAGCCACCAAGGCACCCCAGAACTTCTGTTTTTTTTTTTTTATTTTTTAATTTTTTTTTAAATTTTTTTATTTCTAGGATACAGAGAGACAGCGTGAACAGGGGAGGGTCAGAGAGAGAGGGAGACACAGACTCTGAAACAGGCTTCAGGCTCTGAGCTGGCAGTCAGCACAGAGCCCGATGCGGGGCTCGAACCCACGAACCGCGAGATCATGACCTAAGCGAAAGTCGGATGCTTAACCGACTAAGCCACCCAGGCGCCCCTCTCTGTTTTTAATAGGACCATGGGACTCCTGAATGCATGCCCCATTGGCTATCAGAGCCAGGTGATCTGGGAACCCATTCCTTAGGTGGCAGCCACCAAAGTTGGAGTATAAGAAATACATACAAGCTCCTTCCGGGGAGAAACTGGTGACTTGAAGCAGGCTAGAGGAAGAAGACAATAGGTGTCCGCAAGCTTTCCCTGGTCTCCAGAAATGAGTGCAGCTAGCCCCTAGGTGTGTGCTAAATTAGAAGCTTGACCCTCAGGCAGGAGCTTTCAAAGTATGCAAATAGACCCCTTTTGTGGAAAGACCGAGAGATGGACATTCTGCCTGCTCCCTCTGCACTGAGTCCTGATGGGAAAGGATAGCCAGTTAAGAACTGCTTCATTGGGACACCTATGTGGTTCAGTCAATTGAGTGGCTGACTCTTGATTTCAGCCCAGGGTCACAGGATCAAGCCCCGTGTCAAGGCTCCATGCTGAACATGTAGCCTGCTTAATATTCTCTCTCTCTCTCTCTCTCTCTCTCCTTCTGCCCCTCTTCCCCTCTCACTTTCTTTCTCTAAAATAATTTTAAAAAATTAAAGCAAAAAAAAAAAAAAGGAAAGATAGAAAAGAAAAAAAGAAAGAACCACTTCTTTGTTTGCTACTGTCCTGTGGGACTCTTGAATGGAAGTCCATTGGCTATCAGAGCCATGTGATCTATGGACCCATGTCTCAGGAGACATCCATAAAAGTGGGGTGCAGACATATATATAAGCTTCATCAAGAAACATATGGTGATTTGGGGCAAGCAGGAGGTAGAAGGCAAGGGAGGTGTTTGCCAGTTTCCCTAGTCTCTAGAGATGAGGGCAGTCAGCCCCTAGATGCCTATTAAATTGGAATCTTGACCCAAAGGCAGCAGCTTTTAAAGAAAGAAAGTAGATGGACACTATTCAGGGAAAGGTTGGGAGACTGGCAGGTTTTGCTGGTTCCCTGAACTGAACCCTGAGGTAATAGCAAGAAAGAATGCTCATGTCTATAAATAACCTCTTTTTGTGGGTCTCATGGACTCAAGCCACATTGCCTTTGTAGGTAGATGTTTTGGGGCCCCATCTACTGCGTAGAAATCTTAAAAGTTGGGGTACTAAATATGGGGTCCAAACCATTTACTCCTCAAAGAGAAGCTGTGAATTAGGGGTTCCCTCCTGATTGTACGGCACTGTGCTGGTGGTGGGATTTATGATGAGAGCATATCTCAGCCTTTCCTATCCATTTTGCTGTGGACATTACCTTGTTTGGCTGATGTATAGAAGTTACTCAGCCAGTTCTGGATTATACTTCCAAAGGGAATTGCTCCGTGTGTAGCTGTTCATTTAGTGTGTCCATGGGAGGGAAGGTGTTCAGGGACCTCCTATATCATCATCTTTAAAGACCACTCCTGGAAAAGACTAAATTCATTCTTAATAAGTAATAAAAAGTACAAAAGTATATCCATTGAAAAATAAGTCCTTTTTTCATCTCTGTGTCCAGCCATCCAGCTCTCCTACCCAAGACAACTCTTGATTTGTGAATATATTTACACAGGTAGTCTGTGCATTTCCCAGCACATATACCTATTTACATGCGTATATATCTGTATAATATTTTATTATCATAAATAGTAATATATTATGTACACCATACTGCATCTTACTTCATCATACTTACCACAATATATCTTAAGGCTTATTCCACCTATAGCCAGGTCTGTCTAAAACTCAGATCTTAACCATGTTACTATGCTACTTAAAATTCTTTAGTGGCTCCACATTACTCCCACAGAATGAAATTTATGCTCCTTAGTTTAGCTTCAAGGTCCTCTCTAACCTGGCTCCTTTTAGTACTTCAATTTTCTCACCCACCATTCACTGATTCCTTATGTTCTAGTAGTCAAATTGCTTGTAGCCTGCCCTCATACTGTGTTACTTCACAAGCGAGAGCCTTTGCAATGCCCTTCCCACCCTTCTTTGCCTTAATTACATTTATTTACCCTTCAAAACAACTCAGATGCATCAGATTCTGTGTCTCCCTCTCTCTGCCTCTCCCTTGCTTGTGCTCTCTCTCTCAAAAATTAATAAATAAAAATTTATAAAAAACAGATAAATGAATAAACAAAATCTCGTATATACCTACAGTGGACCAATATTAAGCCTTAAAGAGAAAGGAAATTCTGACACATTGTACAATATGAATGAACCTTCAGGACATTATACTAAGTAAAATAAGCCAACACAGAAGGACAATTTTGTATGATTCCACCTATATGAGGTACCTAAAATAGGTAAATTCATTGAGACAGAAAGTAGAATAATGGTTTACCGGGGCTAGGTGGAGACAGAATGGGGAATGGGGAATTATCCTTTAATGGGTACAGAGTTTCAGTTTGGAATGATGACAAAATTCTGAAAATGGCTAGTGGTGATGGTTTTACAATATGGTGAATGTATTTAATGCCTCTGACTTGAACATTTAAAAATGTATTAAATGATCTCAAAGGACTCTGTATACCCAAAACAATCTTGGGAAAGAAAAACAATGCTGGAGGGATAACACTTCCTGCTTTCAAACTATATTACAAAGCTACAGTAATCAAAACAGTATGGTACTACCATATGGACCAACAGAACAAAATACAGAGCCTCCAAATAACCCTCTACCCCATATATGGTCAGATGATCTTCAACAAGGATGTCAAGACCATGCAATGGGGAAAGGTGCTTCAACATATGGTGTGGGGAAAACTGAATATCCACATGCAAAAGAGTGAAGCTGGACCCTTACCTTACACAATATATAATAATCAATTCAAAATGAATTAAAAACCTAACTGTAAGATCAAACAGTATAAAACTCTTAGAAAAAAAAAATATAGGTGAAAACTTCATGACACTGGATTGGGCAATGATTTCTTGTATGTGACACCAAAAGTACAGACAACAAAAGCAAAAATAGGTAAATGGAACTACATTAAACTTCAGTGCAACAAAGGAAAAAATCAACCAAGTGAAAAAGCAACATATGGAATGGAAGAAAATATTTGCAAACCACATATTTGATAAGGAGTTAATGCCCAACATATATATATAGAACTTCTATAACTCAAAAACCAAAAAACAAACAGCCTGATTTATTTATTTATTTAAAAAATTTTTTTTACATTTATTTATTTTTGAGAGACAGAGTGAGACAAAGCATGAGTGGAGGAGAGGCAGAGAGAGGAGACACAGAATCTGAAGCAGGCTCCAAGCAAACATTCAGCACAGAGCCTGATGCAGGGCTCGAACACACAAACTGTGAGATCATGAATGGAGCCAAAGTCAGACGCTTAACCAACTGAGCCACCCAGGTGCCCCACAAAAAGCCTGATTTTAAAATGGGCAGAGAGGATGCCTGTGTGGCTCAGTTGGTTACACATTAGATTTTAGCCCAGGTCATGATCTCAACTCATGGTTTGTAGGTTCAAGCACCACATTGGGCTCTGACAGTTCAGAGCCTGGAGGCTGCTTCAGATTCTGTGTTTTCCTCTCTCTCTGCCCCTCGCCCGCTCATGCCCGCTCATGCTTTATCTCTCCCTCAAAAATGAATAAACAATGGGGTGCCTGGGTGGCTTAGTCGGTTAAGCGTCCGGCTTAGGTCATGATCTCGCGATTCGTGGGTTCGAGCCCCGCGTTGGGCTATGTGCTGACTGCCAGCTCAGAGCCTGGATCCTGTTTCAGTCTGTGACTCCCTGTCTCTCTGACCCTCCCCTGCTCATGCTCTCTGTCTCTCTCTCTAAAAAATAATAAATATACATTAAAAAATATTTTTTAAAAAAGCCAAACTATGGAAAGAACCTGAAGGTCTATCAACTAATGAATGAAGAAGTATACACACACACACACACACACACACACACACACACACACAGGAATATTACTCAATGATCAAAAAGAATGAAAGTCTGCCATTGCAACAACATGGATGAAACTAGAATATATTACGCTAAATGAAATGTCAGTCAGAGAAAGACAAATATCGTATGATTTCACTCATGTGGCATTTAAGAAACAAAAGAGATGAACATAGAGGAAGGGAAGCAAAAATTAGATAAAACCAGAAAGGGAGGCAAACCATAAGAGACTCTTAAACACAGAGAACAAACTGAGGGTTGCTGGAGGGGAGCTGGGTGGGGGGATGGGCTAAACAGGTGATGGGCATTAAGGAGGGCACTTGTTTGGATGAGCACTGTGTGTTATATGTAAGTGATGAATCACTGGGTTCTACTCCTGAGACTAAAACTACACTCATGTAAACTGCTTGAATTTAAATAAATATTTTTTTAAAAAAAGGGAGAAAACAGCAGAAAACAAGTGTTGACAAAGCCATGGAGAAATAGGAACCCCTGTGAACTGTCCGTGAGAATGTCAAATAGTGCAGCTGGTGTAGAAAACAATACAGAGGTTCCTTGAAAATAGAACTACCATATGAACCAGCAATCCTACTTCTTAGTATATACCCAAAGGAATTGAAAACAGACTCTCCAAGAGATGCTTGTACACTATGTTCATTGCAATATTTTTCACAAAGGCCAAGAGGTAGAAGCAATCTTTATCCATTGCTGGAGGAATGGATAAAGAAAAAATATATACATATCATGGAATTTTATTCAGCCTTTAAAAAGAAGAAAATTCTGTCCTATGCTATAACATGGATAAACCTTAAGGACATTATACCAAGTAAAACAAGCCAATCACAAAAAAAGAAAAATATATAGTGCTTGATTTCACTTGTGTGAGGTATCTAAAGTAGTTGAATTCCTGAAAACATAAAGTTGAATGATGGTTGCCAGGATCTGGGGAAAGGTTGAAATGACGAGTTGTTGAGGAGTCAATGTTCAGAGTTTCAGTTTTGCAAGATGGAAAGTACTAGAGATCTGTTATACAACAATGTGCATTCAGTTAACACTATTATACCATACACTTAGGCGTGTTTACGATGATAAATTTTGTTATGTTTTTTACCACAATTTTTAAACAGTTAAAATGGTAAGTTGTACGTTACATATATTTTACCACGATTAAAAAAGAAAAAAAGCCATCACTCTTTCTACAGGATGAATTCAGGGAAAGAAAGGATTAAGTGTTTGGTTGGCCCAAGCAGAGATGATGGTGGCTTATACCAGAAGAGTTGAAAGAAGTTGACAAATTAGATACATATTTTAATGTGTCTATAAGTGAAAATGTGAATTCCTAGAGGGAATGAGCACCATATTCTTTTTCTTTTATATCCTTACACTGTATTCATAATAGATATACCATATAAATATTGATACATCACCTCTACAAAAGTTGCTACAGAAAAATCATGCCTTGACTGACACATGGAGATGAGAATTTAATAACTTTTTCTCAAAGGCAAAGTAATTTGCCAAGTAGGTCACTCCATAGTAGAGCTTTGGGGGAAAACTAAGGTCTTCTCTATAAAATGGAAAGGTTCTCTGGTCTGCCTGTTGGAGTTCACAGGCCTTCATCAGGTCAAGGGAGATCCTGTGTTAGAATAAGGAAAGAAGAGCTTCTCACCTCTGAGTAAAGGAGTGGCTAACAGATCCAGCAGCTAAATGATGTCACAAGGAAACAAGTCGAAGATAGGTTTGTGAGCTGAATTTGCCATGTGCAAGATCAGTTCTTTTCCCTGCATGTCACAAAAAAGCCATCAGAACATGGAGTGCCTACTGTGTTAGCCAATCAGATGAAGACTAGAAAACAAGGACAGGGAGAGGAGTGGCAAATGGTGGTCCTAGAAATCCCAGCAGGGAGAGGGAGTGGAGGGGTTGGCACACGGAGCCCTAAGGTTTTTCCTAGACCAAATAAAATACTAGGAGGGACTGCATATTTATTTGAAGGCTGCATCTTCCTTATGTGACACCATGCTTCCTACTTTTAGTATTCTGAAAAAGAATACTATAAAGTAGAAAAGAAAATATAGACTTTTCTATGTATACATATATATACTATATATGCTTTTGTATAAGTATGTGTGTAGTTTAAACCTGCTAGTTCAGGTTATATATTTGCTTATGTGTATGGTATGCCTAATAGCCAAACAGGAGGCACAATGCCTCTACAGAGGTTGGTATGTATCAGTGTGTGTGTGTGTGTGTGTATGTATCAGGCAGGGATGAGGGGAAGGAAGGGTTTTGAGATGAGATTTGACTGTGTTTCTGGGCAAGAAGAAAAGCAATTAAAGTGGACACATCCTTGCTGGCAGGCCTTCAGCTGCCTCATGATGTCAGCTATAATCTTGCCACTCTCAGCCTTCTTCACAGCCCCCTCAACCCCGCTGATGGGGATGATAATCCCCATTAGCCACTGTCTGATTAACCAGGCTGAGGTCTCTGTCTTTCAAAGAGGGAGCTGAGTGGGAGATCCCTATAGGTAGCTCAGCAACTGAGACGAGAGATGGATACCAGGGGAGCTAAGCCACAGGCAGCAGATGCTTCTGGCTACCAGGTGCTTTTTTCTCTTACCCTCAAAGACCATTCTTTTCATGATGAGACTTTAATTCCGTAAGTTTTAGACTCAGGGACAGGATTCCTACTCTTCTTCATTCAAAGATCTCCCATTTCTCTCCAACTCAAATTCTCTGTCTCAGTTGGCTCTTTGTCTTCTGAATATACCTGGAGATTTCCTGCCTCCAAGTCTCAGCTTGTTCATTCCTCTACCCCAGAATGCACCTCTCCACCAACACCCTCATTTCCAAACACCACGTCAGTTCCCTTCCTCCTGAGAGCCTTGTCTTTCCACCCAGGGAAAAGTGAGCTCTCCCTCTTCAGAACTTCGCTGGTTCTTGTTCCTGTCATTCAACCCCCACTGGCCATCTGCTTCTCACAGTTAGGGTTAGTTTCTTCCATGTGAATGCATCACATTTCTTCAAACTAGAGTATAAACTCAGCCCTCTCTCAAATACCTTGGTGTGCCAAATCAGAGGCTCTGCTCTCACTGTTTTCTTAGTCCTATTAAGTGTCCATGGGTATGTTTCAACCAGATAACCCCCAGTGTCTGTCGAATTGCCCTTAAAACACTGGTGTAACAAAACAGTCAAACAAAACACACCTGCTGACCATACTTGGCCCATGGACAATTTGTAACCCTTGACCTAAGCCAACAACTCATCAGTTAAAGGTTTATTTTTCTTATTTTGGATACTTCAGGAAGATCATAATCTTTATTTCTTAAGTTCTTTACTCAAAGCATTAAACCTTCTCAATAATCCTCTCTGGAAAATCATTTGTATGGTTTTGATTTTGGTTCTGGCTTCTTCAGTTTACAAAATCACCTCTTGGAACAGGTGAATATGAATTTGAGAGGCAGGATCCTGAGTTCTATCCTTAGTTACCCATTATGCTTAACTCTCTAAGGGTTGATAGGCTAGTTTGGGAATGATTTGAACCCTTTGCACTGTTCTCCTTTGAGCTTCCTGATTTTCTTTTCCTTAAGCATCTCTCTTAAAGGTTAACCTGGATAATAACATCATCTTACTGCTAAAATTTTTATTCCAGACACAGAAGGCAGCTAGGATTCATTAAGGATGAAGTTTCTGATATCAGAATTGTAAGCTTTCCTTTCAATGAGTCAGTGCTACCTGCTTAGGAATCTGAACTGGAAACCCTTGGGGGCTGTGGATACACAAGGAGATTCTAAGTCTTCGGGGAACATATCTTTTCATTTGGACAGTGAAGACTGTGGATAGACAAGCAAGAATCCTCCCTCACGGAAGCTCTGGTTTATTTCAGCCTGTCAAGGTCCAGAGTGGAAGTGACCAGGGTTTTCGGAACAGTCCAGGTTAGGAGACCTTGTCAAAGGACCTCTATGTTATATCTGTCATGACTTCAAACTGTGCTTGAGATTACCTTTTGCTTCACACTAACACATCTCCTGATGGTCAGCTCTATCTAAAGTGGTACTACTACCGTGACCAAGACTGATCTCCACCTCACTCTAAATTCTGTCTGGTTCTATTCCCTTACTATGATGAGTATACAGGTACTTGCCTCTCCCATACTTCTTATGTTACCTGCAAGTCTATACTGCACCTGCCAAACACAGCCTCCCACCACCTGCCTCCCTGGAGCAGAACAAGGAATAGAAAGTGACAGAAGATTGAAGTTCTCCACTTTACTATTTACACAGTTCTGATCAAAAATTGAGTAGCACTTGTGGTGTGCAGAGCATAATGAATAGACTTATCAAATCACTATGTTGTACACCTGAAATTAATATAACGTTGTGTGTCAACTGTACTTTTAAAAAATCATATAGAGGAACAAACTAATAAAACCATTATTAGTTATTTTAACTAAAATAAATAAAAATTTACAAAAATCCTTTACACTCCCATAGGGCTATTAGAGTTTACAAAGTGTTTTCGTGTGCATTGTCATTTGATCCTGACGTGCTCCTGCAAAATGAGGAGAACTGGTATTTCTATTCCTATTTGACAGATAAGGAAATATGTGCATTAGAGAAATTTGTTGGTTTGCTCAAGGTTACACAATTAACAAGTATAACTGGAACTCAAACTTAGGCTTTCTTATTTTACTTTAGGTCTAAAGACATTTTTGAAGTATCCTTGGTGTTCATTTACCCTTCCTCTTTCTGCTACCCTGTAACAGGGCCAGACGGCGGTGGAAGATCAGAATGCTCTGGCTTTTGCCTCAGCGGATTTGACTAAGTGCATGGAAGAATATAGGCTGTTTTCAGGCGTGTAGGCTCAGTGTGTCCAGGTAGAGAAGGTTATTGACTTGCTCATTTATTGCTTCAAGCATAGAAGCCTCTCCCAACTCTTCAGCCCCAAGAGGCCTCCTACAATAGAGAACATTCACTGCTATGGGAATTTACACAACTTCATATAGTGTGTTTGGTGCCAGTGACTTGGCCGGTTAGAATGAAAGAAAGGGGCTGACTTCTAGCTGTGTGGAAACTGCATAAAGGAAAATGAAGTTCCCATGGGCACACCCTCTCTTCTTCCTACCCTTGGGCTTAGCTGTGTCTAATAGGAACAGAAGAAAGAGATGCCAGGCACAGACTTGCCCCCCTTCCACCCTGGCTTCGACAAAGCCATAGACAGGGCTTGGTCCTAGCCCTATCACCACCTGACCTGAGATGTCATCACCAGAAAGTTCCCATTAAGCATCTACCAGTAGGTCAGAGGTGAAGAGTGATTTCTGCAACACTATACCCTTGAGCAGCTACTCGGGCTTTCCTGTTTTGCAATATCATGGGATAATTCTAATTATCCCCCTGGGGAGGAGGATTGGTGAAGGAACACGGGAAGTGTTGATAAATTCTCCAAAGCTGAGTATATTAAAATTCACATTGACTTAAAAATAAATATATACCATCTGGCGTTTTTAGGAAAATGGAGAAAGGTTGGGTCTGGGGAGGAAGAATTGCTAAGTGACACAAAAACGGGCTGTAACTGCTCCAAACAGATGTGAGTCACCCTAAGGAGCTCAGTCTTGTGTCTTTCATTCCAAAGCCCTGAGCCATGCAGAGCTGGTAGCAGAGTTGGAGAGCAGCCAATCCCAGAAAGCTGGGCTAGTGAAGGAAATACAGTGGGGAGGTTTCTGAGCTGGTCTCCAGGGAACAGAGGGAACAATGAAGAGAAAAGGGACAGAGGAAACTCTTTACCACCTGGTGTCTTGCCAACAAGAAGACAAAACTTGCTTGGACTTAAATACACATTGCACTTAGACACCTCCGTGAGAAATAGAAGGACATAGTGATCAGAAGCACAAAATCTGTAGCCAGAATGCTAGGTTCACATTCTGGCTCTGCCACTTACTAACTTGTGACCTTGAGCAAGTCACTTAACTTCTCTACCTCCATTTCCTCATCTGAAAATATAGAGCTAAAAGGAATAACTAGTTAATACAGCAATGAAGTAGGACGCAACAAACATCTAGAAGAGTTCTTGTTCTCTAAGTTAATCAAATATAAATGTTGGTTACTGTTATTACCAGGTACAATGGAGAACTACGGTAGAAGTGAAGCCACTGTCCTAAAGCAGCTATATTCTAAGCACAAATGCATTTAAGACAGAAGCTTGTTCTAGAAACATGAAGAGGTTCCAATAGATGTAATTATGACAGTCACCAGTAGATGTAATTATGGTAGTCTGGGGCTTACTATAGGCCAAGTTCAGGCTACCTCATTGGAACGAGGTAATATAGCTTCAGAACTATGACTTTTAGCCTGACCAGGACACTTCTACCAGACCCTGAGGAAAAATATAAAGGGAAAAAAAAAAGTTCTATTCTATCTTTAAGAAAGGCAAATCTTTGAAAACACATTAAGTACCTATTCTTTTTTTTTTAATGCTTATTTATTTTTGAAGGAGAGAGAGTGACACAGAGTACGAGCAGAGGAGGGGCAGAGAGAGATGGAGACACAGAATCTGAAGCAGGCTGTCAGCACACAGCCTGACATGGGGCTCAAACTCAGGAACGACAAGATCATGACCTGAGCTGAAGTCAGACGCTCAACTGACTGAGCCTGCCAGGGGCCTCACTAAGTATCTATTCTATGTAAAATATTCTGATAGATGTTATTGAAGTTAAAATGAAGTAAAGAATCT